GGGACTTCCTTTCTTCTCTGGAACCCAGGCCAGTTTTTTTCAGAGCCTTTACTCCTCTCAGGGGACAGAGGGAGGTCTGGCAGTGAGATATGAGTCCTTGAACACATCTGTACCTAAAGTGAGACAAAATTGTGCCTTTAGACACAGTGGACAACACTCCTTAGTATGTCTTCACTATTTGCTTGATCTTCCTGGTCCTTAGAAGTGTTTGGGTTGGAAATCCTTGGTTGACCTCGTGAGTCTAAAACCTCCTAACATCTTTTTCTTCAATCCATCAGCCGTTTAAGTGAGCACCAGGTGTATGGTCAATATCTGGTGTCAAGAAAGATGCCAGAGTGGGAAGGTGAGCAAGGGCCAGGTGAGGTGTGATGCCCCTTGTCTACTGTGAGAAATGGGCCCTGCAGATGTTGGTCAGGCCAGCCTGGCCCTGGGAACCTAGCTCTGGCATCCCGAGGGCATCCTCAGCCCTGGGGAACCCCTTGAGGTCACTCTGCAGAAGCTGAAGACCTTCCAAAGACCGACATTCCAGAGCCATTGGAATTTTGGTCTCCATCCTTGAGCAGAAATGGATCCATACTTTGGCCCTGGAGCCAAAGTGGCCTTCTAGAACCGTCTTGGATAAGACCTGAAATTTGGAGCTAGACCAAAGTAACAACTCTAGGTGCTGACTGTGCCCTTATTGTCTGTTCCCGAACAAACCAGTAGAGGTCTCATAGGAGCTATGGCTCAGAAATGTCTAGCCTAGCAGTTGCTGAGTATCCAAAAGATCACCAAAATACCATTGCCACTTGGTCCCTGGCAAAATATCCTTGAATCTGGATAATGTTTACTGGCATGAACTATGGAAATGACTTAATCATGGTATCAAATTGCTGGAGTCGTAGCAGACTCTACTAGCTTCCTTCTTCTATCTGGAGCACCTTACGATCTGCTCCATTCAAAGTCACCTTGAATGGAGAGAAATGGGAAAAGGCATGGACAGGAAATTCTTTATACTTAACCTAACGTCCCTTAGGCTGCCACTTAAGCTCATTTCCTCATTTTGTATCCTGGAGTAAAGGAAAAAACAGGTTGTCATGGCCTTAACCTGTCATTCAGGCTCTGGGAGGTTACTTCCTCGTGTTCCCTCTGCTGGGCCATAGAATTCCTGTTGTCTTGACTTTGGGTTTGTCCTTTTTCCTTTTTAGAGAGGCAGTTCATGGGATTTATAGCTTTAAAGGATGTACCCAGTATCATCTTTATTAGACAAGAATATAGAAAACTATTACAAAAGGTTATGTGCTGCATTTATCTAGCAGAGAGGGTGGTCTGGTCTAAGTTTCTAAGAACAGTTAGAATAAATCAGGAATCACTTTGTCATATTTCATCCTTATGCTCCCAGAATACTGATCCCACAACACAGAACCAGAATGCAGTCTGCAGACCCGGAAACCAATTTCACAGCCTTTATGCCTTGACTGCACATTTAAGGAATGAAATCAGGAGACCTACAAAACCATCATCGGGAAGAGAACATACGGTCATATTTCTAGTCCCAAGAAGCAGCTTTCTGTCAAGTAATTCAAGCGCACGTGCATTGATTTGTGCCTTCTCAGACTGGTTCTTCCTCAGATAGATGCTGGTTTGATGAGTTCACTGAGAGCTCAGGCATGAGGGGCTCTGGATGGGGCTGGAGTGACAGAAAAGATTGCTTTCTATCCAGGCCTCTTCTTCTCTTCTTCTTCTTCCTCTTCCTCCAACTCTTCCTAAGCGGGCACAGATGATGTTCACTAGGAAGCATCAAAAATGACATCAGTTTGAAATATCAAAGTAGATAACAATCCAGGGAATGAAAATATCTGCTAATCAAGCCACCATATAGTTTGTTTAACGGACCCAGGTTGCGTGTGTTGGGGGGAGGGTGGGAGGAAGGGTCATGGTAGATTGGCCTAAGGCCTTTGGAAAACCGTAAATTCAGGATGGATCTTAAGGAGATTGACGGTAAGGCTGCCTTGAAAGTATGGTTTCCAGGTCTCCCAGAGGCCTTTGTGTTCACAAATGACCTTCATTAGGCAACTTCATTAAGCCTAAGACGTCACTATTAGAAAAGTCATTTGGTCTTAGGTTTTGTCATAAGAATGCAAATGTCCCTGAGAGAGCACATCATCCACTTCTTCCATTCCTTCCAGAGAGGGGGGAGGATGAGGACACCCAGAACAAGGTGCCATAACAGTGTATTGGGGGCAGGAGTGCCCCCCCAGGGAGGAAAGTGGCATGGTGGAAGAGATGGTAAACCCAACTCTGGAGGCCTCGTGATTTGTTTTAGAATGGTGGTGGCTTCCTAAATTAATTTTTGATGGCAATGGTCACAGGTCATATCTGAGCAGGGGCAAATTCTGAGCGTCTGGGAGCTGGGAGGGGGAGAGCTGGGCTTTGGAATTGGGTGAAGCAGGGTTTGCGTCTGACTCCGCTCTGGGGCAGCTGTGTGACTCTGGTTGAACCTTAACCTTGCTCCTGGCCTTCTTTCCTCATCTGGAATACGGAGGGAGTAAATGACACCTCCCAGGTGGTGTGTGTTCTGAGCACCTCATGTAACGTAGGGTTAGGTGCTCAGAGCCGTGGGCGGTGGGTGGTAGACACTCCATAAACCCTCTCCTCCTGTCCATTGCCCTCTCCCGTTTGTATTTACTGTAGTTGAGCACCATATGGCCTTTCTCTCAGCATCCAAATGTTGGCTCAGGCAGTTATCAAGTTGAGACACACTGATGATACTTGATCATTGGCTAGAGGAGGGCAAACAAACTCATGCACAGACACAGTTGGAAGCTCCGATTGTGTAAGCACAGTGAGGTGATGGTCATTAGGTTTTGGCAACCCAGAGGTATTTCCCCCTTGCCCTTTTTTACTTTGTGCATCTCTTACTGGAGCTCCTTGAAGGTTTGAAGTATCTCCCCATATGCTGGGCTGATGCAACCATTTGAATGTGGATTCTCACTTGTGTTGGAAACTCTTTTATGCTGTGTCCAAGAAGAGACGCAAGACAGGGCCAGGAAGAACAATGAGTATATTTATAAATTGTTCTTCTTTTCAGATTATCAGTAATGAAAGTCAATCATTTTCAAGCCTAGGCAGTATTGTACTGATTGAATCACGAGCGCCTAAGAGAAAATGTGACAGTGCTTGGGGGTCACTGGCCTCTTGTTTTTGGCTGTCTGTCCAGGAGCTAACTTTCCTTAAGGGAGATTTGGACTCGAACTGTAAAGAAAAACGTTATTCACATATTCATTCATTTGTTTTCTTCCTTGGGAGACTCGCCCAACCATGAGCATCCCTTTGCAGTTTTGGGACGGGGGTGGGGAGCCTCGCTTTGCTCTTGCACACCTTTCGGTCAGTGTGAAATATTGGATTCCTGGGACTGATTGCTGCTGTTGGGGGAAATAGGGATCACGACTAGAAAAAGCTGGTTAGTCAGATGGCAGAGAAGGAGGAGAGGTTTTTGTAGTGAAGCCTTGGGGGAAAGAAAGGGAACTGAAAGAAGGGAACCCCAGTCTTCTGGCTAAGTAAGTCCTGGAAGGTTTGTTGTGGGCAAGGAGGGAGGGGTACATGAGAATTATTGAAGAGTAGCCATGATTGCTAGTAAATGCCCAGAAAGTCACCGACGCACTGTGTGTACAATCTCCTCAACTCAAAATTTTGCAGAGAGCGCTAGGTTTCTTGTCTATGATTTCTCCCATTATGGGCTTATGGGACCCTCATCCCTGGAACTGGGGAGGGGAGGCTTTGTGGGTTTTGCTTCCTGCCCGGAGTCTGACAACATGCTTTTGTCTCCAAAACAGGCACTCTTTCTTTACTGCTTTGAAATCATCAGATTCTTTCTCTTCTTCTTCATTCCTTGGATTTCTTTGAGTGAGGCCATATGAGTTCTCCTTTTTCATCATTTTACTCCTGAGGCAGTGGGGCAATTTGGGGAGGGATGAGTGATGTATGCTAGCATCATCTGTGGTTATGGTGTTCAGAATTTTCACCTGCTATCAAAATCACATACTAACCAGTCCACGTATCGTCACAAAACACTCCTTCCCCTTTCTTCTTCCATGAGGTTCCAAACTCATTTTTCTTCATGGTACTCAGTTTAAAGGTTTCTGGGTTTCTTAGATTACTTTTCTCTTTCCTGAGAGTGCCTTGTATCATTGAATAAACAGTTTCAGATCCAGGTTTGCCTAAAATTTGTTTGACTATTGTGTGAATGTTTAGCGTCTATTCATATGATGTAATGTTGCAGGATCTGTTACAGTGTGAGCTGAGAGATTTTGTCTGACAAAATGTTATGTGTCATTTGGGTTATTTTTCAAAATCAAGAATATGTTTATGGAACCTCATAACTGAAGATAAAAATGTAATTGTGCTTCTTAATAACTTGCTTTTCTTCTTCTGGGACAAAATATGGAAACATTTAAATTAGCTCTATGCAGATGAACCAGAAGCTTACCTCCCTTCTAAGGTGTTGATGATCTTGATTTGTTTTCTTTGTGGAAATGAATGCTTCTGTTATCTCGCTTTGGATGCAATGGTTAGTCGTCCCCATCATGACAATTTTATGTTGTTCTTCTCGGAGGTATTTTAAAGATTGTCCAACTGTACCATACAGAATACTAAGAGCTTATTTGATATATGAATTCCTCTGGAGAACATGTCAAATTATGAATTCGTTATTCCTGCACTAGCAAGGCAACATAATCAAGCCAGAGAATGCCTAGAGTTTGTTTTTTTTTTTTTTTTTTTTTTTGGTTATGGCAAATAGGAGTTTGTTTTGATTTGTTTCACTTTTGTTTTAAATTTACCACCCACAGTTATCCAAAATACATAAAAGCTTGTGGGTTTGATATGTTTGTTTTGCTCTCTCATACTGTAACAATGTTCAAACATGACTATACTTAACGTCTTTAGGACCAGACAAATTAAAAGTCATTTGCTCTTTTGATAACAATATCAGAGAACATTGGAAAAAAATTCCTTTTCACAATCTGCCATTCCCGTAAGTTGATAGTTGCGCTGTTTGCATAGCTGACCACCCACTGAAGCCAAGGCACGTGAAACTGCTGTCCACTAAAATGGGCCTGAAAGTCACGTGGGACCCACCCAAAGATGCTACCAGTAGACCCGTGGAGCATTACAACATTGCCTATGGGAAGTCACTGAAAAGTCTTAAATACATCAAGGTGAATGCCGAGACGCACTCCTTCCTTATTGAGGATGTGGGTAAGTGACTCTGTGGTCTTGTTCCCGGTCAGAACTAACTGTACACCAACGTTCTCAGTTCCCTTCTTAGGTAGGATGGCTGTTTGTGAGACACAGTGTGGCCAGGCTCCAGGGACCTCATGGTTCTTTGGGAACAGGTAGCTGAGGTCATGAGGCTGTTGCTTAATCTTTATCTTGCCCTTGGACTTCCCATTCTGCATTTGAACTCAAGTATTTCTGGGTAGTTCTCCAAATGAATGTAGGAAACCAGTTTTTAGTTTCTGAATGTGCTTTTGGAAAGCATGTTGGTTCTTTGTTTCCTAGAAACTTTACTTTGTAGCCTAATCTTGAGATTTCTAATTTATAAACCAATTAGAGATTACTCAAATAATATGTCCCTGTGAGGGTGTGTGTGATATGTCATGCTTAGCCACATCTGGTTCAAAGACGTGACATTCTCCCCATTAAATTTGATTCTGGAAGTCTGTAATATTTAAAAATTTTCCTAAATATATTGTTTTATAAGTGCAGGTGTAGGTGGTTTTGAACATAGGCTTTGAGCTGCCTCCTTGGGACCCTCTATCTTTTGCTTTTTTGATCCTACGAGCCTGAAACTCCCATTTATACTACAGTCCAGCCTCATGATGGATCGTAAGGAAGTAACAGAAGTCAGCATCTCTGACAACCAGGTCTCCCTGCGCTGGGTTTCCGTTTTCCTGCCTTCCTTTGGTGGATCAAAATCAACTAACTCATGGCTCCTCAGATTCCTGGCCATTGTCTACACATTTACTCTCTCTCCACCTCCTGCATTATAATGTTAGACTTTCTGAGTAACGGAGCAGAAAGTATATAGAAGGGACATCAAAGGAGCCAGATTTCCTTCTTCGTGGTTCCAGCTAAACATACATTTCTCTGAATCTTTTCCACATCAGTATGACCCTACTAAGTACGACAGTGAGGTTAAATGGAGAATCTGTTGGACCCAAGGCATGAGCAGGGTCATCTTTGCTTGTTCAAACCTTAGGTTGTTATGATCACTGCAGAGAAGAAAAACATGCAAAAAGAGAGCCCTAGAACTCACTGAAAAACAAATAGTCTCTCCCAAGTAACTCACTGATGAGTTAATGGGAATCAGAGACATGTGGATTAAATTTCCTTGAAATGCGAATAACCTCAGAATGAAGAGAGAAAGTGCCTGGCAAAGCATGATTTTGTGTGCTGTCTGACCTTAGAGAGCATTTCCCAGTTAGTCCAGCAGGCCATGCCAAACCCTACATGCTACCAGGCCCTGCCACAGTCAGACAGAGGTCCTACTGACCTCGAGCACAGCAGGGGTGCTAGATGGCATCTCTGTGTCGCTGTTGCTGGGCCTCTGGCCCTAGAACCGAAGTTCTGTTATAGGAACACTTCTCACCTTGAGAAATGTACATATGCTTCTTGCCTTTGACACAACTAACACTTATCTCTCCAACCGTCCGTCCCATCAAACGCCCACAAACTCTCATCTCTCCAAGGAATTGGCGCCTTCACTTACCTTTCACAGTCATTCATTTTGAGGAAAACCAACACAATTGGAGTGTTCCTTTCTGCAGCTGCAAATTCAGGGCACACTCACACGGCAGTGTGGTCTCTCGGTTTCCCTTCCCGTCCCACCAACTTCAGGAGCTCAGCCAAAGAGACCATGGCTATTTGACCTTGACCCCTATGTACATGTCAAAGTGAAGCCCAGTTATTTCAAGATTAACGTGTCCAAGGTTCCAACAGCTGTTTCTCTAGGTTTTTGTTGAAATGCTCAAAGACAACATGCAGACCTAGTAAAGGGAGTATTCACTGTCATAAGGAGAAAAATTTCATGAAGCTTTACATGTTGCAATGAAGATTTCCCATGTGCTAAATTTTATGGGTTACCCTGAAATTTTCTTTCTGTGTTTTGGAGTTTTCTGTTTGAAGCTTCCAGGGGGAGATATTATTTGCAGGTACTGACACTATAGACTATAAAACACCTACGTAGTGGATGGTGCGTTCCTATTTCCTACATTAATTTCACATTAAAAAGCTCAAAAGCCTTTTCTGTTGACAGCTTATGAATCCAGGTTTATTAGACCTGCCATGTACTTTGTACTAAATAAATTTCGTGTTCTTTGGGTCAGGCATATTTTCGTTGCATGAGAGGAATGTTAGTGATGTTGATTAAAAAGAGAGAGAGAGAGCTGTAGTTAGACTTGTCACTTAATTCAGATTTTTGTATTTGGTTATACATAAGGGAGACAGTTAGTGAATCACACTGTCATTCCTGGAGATTTGAAACGGTGGCTTGATGTAAACCATATGTTTCAGAGCCGGGGGTGGTGTGCTTTGTGCTGGTTACTGCAGAAAACCCCAGTGGAGTGAGCCGTCCGGTTTACAGAGCTGAAAGCCCGCCTGGTAAGTCATACCTAGAACTGGAGGCTGTATTTTTGTTACTTAGATGCGGAGAAACATCCCTCTTTGCTTTCTCGGATCTATACAGATTTAGAATCTCTAAAGGGTTCCTGAGCAAGAATGACTTGTATAGCAAGCTGAAAGATAGAAAACGAGGAGAGACTTATCCCTACTTTTAAAGTAATTTTGATGTAGGTTGTTAGCGTTTTGTCCTAAATTTTTGGAGTACTCATTAGAGTAAGCCATGTGCAAAAGACCAAGAAGATGTGATGTCCAGAAAGCTTAGGTGCCTCGTTACTGATGTGGCCTGAGCGGATCCTTTTGAGGACTGTTGAAAAGACCACTAAACATATGTTAGGGCTGCACTGAAATGTGGAAAATCCAATCGTCCTCCTTTCTAACTATGAAGTTGCATTTTCCTCATTTAGGAGGTGAATGGATCCGGATTGATGGTTTTCCCATTAAGGGTCCAGGACCATTTAATGAAACCACCACAGGTACTACGTGCTCCTTCGGTTCATGTCCTCACTGAAGCACCATCTCGCAAGAGGGTTGTGCTTCTGTCACACACATGTGCTCACCAACCTTCATTTAGTTCCCATCGCTAAACTAACACACATGCCACACGGTTTTGGTCAATCTGCTCTGCACCCGATGGCCCAGACTGCAGCCGGTGTTGCTCATTTCACACTGTTCTTTCACGTGCTGGTGTGGGGAAGTGTCTTTGTCTACATCTGGGGTTACTGTTGCACTGTTAACAGGCAAATATGGTGGTTGAGATGGCAGCCCTGGCCTGATGAGGATATTTATAGCTCTGTTACCTGTGGATGGCATAAATAAATGGAATCCACCAAGAAGTGGCTTTTATTGGCTAATACGCTGCATCAAGTCTTTCTCTTTTCTTATAAGCATGGGATATTTTGTGATATGTTAGAGCACCTGCCTTCCATCTCTGCTCCATATTTGTATATATGTCTGTTTTATCATTTGGATGTTGATGTTGTCTAGTCATATTGTTTTACTTGTTGAGGGAAGTGTTAACATTTCTTGTATGTTTTTTTGAATACATTTAATTAATGGTGAAAAAATAATGCAAAATGAATGCAGTCATTTTGGAGTGTGGTTGGATAATATCCCAAAGGCAATATGGCGAGGACCTGTATTCTGTTTTCATGAATGCTGTTTTTAAGTCCGTCAATCTGGTGTTGTTGTTGAGAGGAAGGTGAGTACTTTGAAACCAATGACCGTAATCTGCTTCTCAGGTCAGGTTTGATGGGTGTAGGCAGTTTCAAAGTCTCCTTTCCACAGAAAGGGGGTGAAAAAATGAAACAACCAGAAAAGGAGGCTGGCTTTCAAGGAAAGGTGATATGCTTTTGTTCCAATATGTTGGACTTGGGGCGACCATGGGGTGTTGGAAGGGAGACATCTTGGAGGTGATTGGAGGTGGGGAGATGAAAGTCGGAAGAGAGAAGTAAGGGGCAGGCATGGATTCCAGAGTCATGCTCCAGAGTGAGAGTGGAAGCCGAGTGTGTATGAGGGTGACAGGAGGGACAAGAGCAAAGGGCCACAGTCGAAACTGAGAGGATGATGACAGTCGAATAGCCAAGATGGTAGTGCACCTAGGAAATGTGCAAAATATGCGAGGGTGTTTATTCCGAGACTGTCCACCCCTGAAGAGGCACATGTAAACTTTTTACTGACAGATGTTCAGTGCCTTGTATTGGAATCTTGTATTTTAGATGACCATTTTATTTTTTATAATCTTTCTGATAAAGTTTTCTGAATGACAGTGGTTTTAGAACAAGTAATTTGCTTTTGCTTTTTCTTAAGTAATTAATTTCTTATGCCTTCTTTAATAAAAACATATGTGTGTGTGTCTGTGTGTGTGTGTGTGTGTGTGTCTGCAACCTTTCTGAGTGAGCACGAGTTACAGAAACGCTGGGAACTGGGACTCACAGACAGTCGTGCTCCAGCTCGTTATTGGTTTTGCATACTGTGAAATCATTTAACCTCTCTCTGTAGGAGACTTTGTATGCCCTAGTTGCCAAAGGGCACTCTTCTGTAATATATAATACTATATTTGTTATATATTATGATAAAAAAGATACTGGAAGAAATTGCTAGCTGAAACCATTTCCAGCATAAGATATAAAGCAGAATTTTTTCTTTTAAAAAAATGAATAACAGAATGCACAGACTTGGTTACAGTGCTCCAGAAAAAAAATTACATGTCATTAGTAATAAAAATAATAAGAATAATTTATGAGAAGTTATCAATAAATGATCAGCATGCATCTATGCCTTTTTTTTATAAGGCTTGGAAAATATGCTATGCTGCTATTCTGAGGAATGGTTAAATAAATGACAATCCCATTAAACAAAGTAAGTATTCTGAGTTCCAGGTATCTTCATTCAAAGGAAAGGATTTGTCCTCAAAATGTAGACATTGGCGTTGGCTCCTGGTGGAAGGCCCCAGGGGTTCCCTTTAGTGTTTTGCCTGGTAACATCTCACTTTCTTTGAGTGTTTTACTTGAAACCAGAGGAAAATCTATCCTTTTGCTCTGCTGGAAACAGTAGTTTCAGTACAAATTCCAGAAGTCCTCCTTTTGTGGCGGAGACCTATCTTGACCTCACTGTCTTTCCTTAATTATTAGATTCATTCATTCAGTGCCATTGGCTTTCCAGGGGCAGGTCTGGATGCTACAGATACAATAGGGGGTAAGACAAACAAGGGCTTGCCTTAACGAAGACTGGATTCTAGTGGGAAAGAAAGACAATAAACATGTAAGCAAAAAAATAACGCACATAATCTGTATTAGTTTGTGAGGACTGCCATAACAAAATACCACAGAGGGTGGCTTAAACAACAGATGTTTATTTTCTCTCACAGTTCCAGAGTCTGGAAGTCTAAGATCAAGGTGTCAGTAGGTTTGATTTCCCCTGAGGTCTCTCTTTGGCTTGTCTTTCCTCTGTGAGTGCACATTCTTGGTGTCTCTATGTATCTCTGACTTTCCTCTTCTTAAAGGGACACCAGCCAGATGGGAGTAGGCCCTACCCCAAGGGCCTCATTGTAACTTAATCACATCTTAAAAGGCTCAGTCTCCAAAGACAGTCACATCCTGGGATAATTGGGGGTCAAGACTTCAACATATGATTTTGAGGGGGGACACAATTCAGCCTGTAACAGAATCATAAATTCTTTGAAAAATGAACAACACTGAGATATGGACTAAGCTGAGTGGGGGAGCCCAGGAGGGGCTAAGATGGTGGCACCAGGCTGAGATGGTATGGGGACCGCTGGCCGGGGTGAGCGTGAGGAGGAGGAAGAACATGACAGGCAGACTCGAGTGATTCTCAGACTAGTCACTCGTCCAAATCTGAAAGCCCTCAGGACTCAGAAAGTAGGAGGACTAAGCAGAACTGCAACTCTGGCAGAAGTTTTGGCTTTGGCTTTGGCTTTGGCTTTGGGTAGCTCATCTTATATCTTTTAGTTAGAAAGTTTTCTTTGTATTTCAATGTGAAATCTCTCCTGTTGAGATGTAAACCCATATCCCTTTGTTTTGTCCCCAGGGAAGAGAGGTCCCGAGTCCATTTAGCTATTGGAATCTTATTATTTACCTTCCCTGCAGACTTCTTTTCTGAAGTTGTTTTAGCTTTTTATTTCTGTGATCAGATGTGGGGTCATCTGGTCTGTGCCAAGCCAGATACTGGGGTCAGGACAAGACCATGGCCCAGCTCTGATTTCAACCAACCCGGAGACTCAGCATGCAGGTCATTCTGCTTTCACCGGCTCTTCATCTGGAAAATTTTAGTTTTCAATAGCATCATGTGTGTTTTTTTAAAAGATTATTTATTTATTTATTTGCCAGAGAGAGAGAGAGAGAGAGAGAGCATGTGAGAGTACAAGCAGGGGGAGTGGCAGGCAGAGGGAGAAGCAGGCTCCCCCCTGAGCAAGGAGCCTGATGCGCGGCTCGATTCCAAGACCCTGGGATCATGACCTGAGCCGAAGGCAGATGCTTAACCGATTGAGCCACCCAGGCATCCCAGGATCATGTGTATTTTTAATAAGGTGATGGTTTTCTAAAACTCTAGTCATTCATGCTGTCCTTAAGCTATGGCGCCCAAACTAGACAGAGTACTGAGATAAAAGTCTCTTCTTTTAGATTTCTGCCTCGTATTTTCTTACATTATATTTTAGTCCATGAAGTTTGCTCATTTTTTAGACAATTAAATCATAGCTCCGACTTGAGTTCACAGTTCTCTTTGGCCACTCTCAACCAACACTGGCATAGCTGCGCCCAGCCATTCCCTGACCTCCACGTTGCTCCCCAAATACAAATAGCATGTTGGCTCTTGGCTCATAATAGCCTGTCCACACTGGCGTCCTCCATGATGGTGGCCCACGTGACATCCTCATGTCACGGTTTCCAGCTGCCACCACCTGCTGCCTGTGGTAGAGTTGCTCTTCTCCACAGTCATCTTGCTTTTTCAACTCCCTCACTGTCCTGAGCTCCCTTCCAGACTTACTTGGGCTTTGGGTCCATAGACCCTTCCCATTTCCACAGTCCAGTGCTGTCTCCTGTCTCATTTCTTGTCTTTCCTGGTCCCCCTCCTGTTAGCTCGGCCAGCACCCCTGACCATGGGACGGCCTCTGTGGCCTGCTAGTCCCCATACCAGGGCCCCTACCTCCCTGGCTTCCCTCCTGCATGTGAATTGCTGAGCCTTGTGGGAGAAGCAAAGAGCTAAGCCGATCTGTACCTCTGTGACTCCTTACAGCTGGTCTGCTAACTCCAACTGGGTCCTCAGCTCTGCTTGGCAGTTGTTCTCTGTGTCCTGACTCAGATTACTTCCTTTCTTCCATGGCTTAGCAGGTCCAGAATATTGCCACTTTGCTCGAGCTCCTTCCTCCTGTCCTCCTCTTGCTTCTAGCCTTGCTTCCTGCCTCCCTTTGAAATAAAGGTTATCAGCATGACACCCCTCCTCTTATTTCCCATGACTTCCAAACCCTCATCTCCCTTCCCTCCTCTTGGCTCTGAGGGGAACTGCTGTCCCCATGACTCTTCAAGGTTGACTTCATAGATGTGAAGCTGCATAGCACGTCTGGTCAGACCCGAGGGCAGACCTGGGTTCGGGTCCATTACGGGAGCCCCGCTACTCTCCGTGGTGCCTGCCTCAAAAAGCTGATACCTGCTGTTGAATGGGTGTCAAATTACTTGACAGAGAAATGATGAAACTAAGAAACTATGCAAACCACAGTTTGGCATCTTTATTCCTTCCCTGGCATTCCTTTCATAGGAAATACCTATGGTCATATGAGAAATGGATATTTCATAATCTAAAATTACGAATTCTGGCCTTTTCTATCAATAGTTCATCAAAACAAACACTGACCTTCAGGTATATCTTCTTGCCAATTTGTTTAAATGTGACTGACGTGGAGAGTGGAAATTCTAACCCTAGTGTCCTGCGACGGGCCCTTTCCTGACCCATTGACTTGAGAGTACAGTCACCATCAGGCTGTACTCCCCGCCCTGTCCACTCCCGCACGGCTGGCTGGGCTGCAGCTCCAGCACATTCCTGAATCTGTAGCTGTAAAATCCTACAGCTGTGAAATGCTGGGGCTTGATGGGAAGGTTTGTTTTTTTTTTTTT